AGTGCCTGCTGTGCTTATTGCCAATGCGACAACACGTGCCACAGTTGGTCAAGTGCGTTGCAACTGCAACTGGAACAGCGAGTGCGACTGGGAGTGCGACTGCGGCCGAGGCACTTTTGTGCTGGTTAACAAAATAAACACACGGACAGCGCGGTACACACACATACCCGCACACACACACACACACACACAGTCGTCTTTGATGTAGCTGAACTGTTGTAATTGTATGTGATCAAATGGATACTTTGGCCTGCAGTGTTTTTCCTCCCCGCCGCAAAAGGGCAACCGGATAGCCTGCCACTGGCGTACGTGGACTGCTGTACCACCCGCGCACTCGTGGGCTATAATTTATGCCGACCTTAAGAGATGAAGCCACAGCGCTTTTTGCACAAATGTTCACAGCGAATTGTTTCTATCTGCCAATTTGTGAGCAAAGCAAGCCACGAGAATATCTCTTGAGACTACAAATTCAACACAGAAAATCGCATAATCGCATTAAAAACATTTAAAATGTTAAAGAAATACAATTTCTTGTGGCTATGCTATATCGTTTGATCAGTTGTTGCCAATAGATTCCCAACGTGCCTGCATATCTATGCGTACATAATTGAAGTATTCACTTGGGCGAAACAGTGGCCAGAGATTCGTATTTCGCATTTACATGTAATGGCAGCTGTAAAAATCATTGTTGATTGTTATTTATGGAGTGAATTTTAATAAATGTATTTTAAATTTGCACACACTGAAATCTGTGGCACACACACACACACACACAGGCAACGTTTCGTGGGCCATTATGCAAATTGGCAACAACATGAGCTACAGAGCCAGGCCCGAACACGAACGACGAACCACGAGCCACGAGCCACGAACCCAAACGAGGACAAAAGCAGGCATGAAAAAAAAAAAAAAAAAAACAAAAAACAAGTCAAGGCATTCGTAATGGCTGGGGTTCTACTTACTACTCATAAATTTGCTGCAATGGTACAAATCAAATCATAACTTATTTGCATACATACGAGCGGTACGACTGGGCGGAGGTGGGAAGCTGACCAATCTGTAGATTTTCTGCTAACATGTGTGTAGAGTGTGCAGAGTGCGCCTGTGTATGTGTGTGGCCATATCAATTACATTGCATTTCGGGTGTGCTGCGCAAATCTTTTGCCAAATTCAGTCACGTTCCCATAACACACTGGCCAAGGACCACAACAAGGACCCAAAAGCAGACCCAAACGCAGACCCAAACCGTACCAAAATGAAAGTGTATTAAATTTCTGCTGAATTGGTTTTTTTTGTGTGTGTCCTGAAACTACATAGCAGCGAGGCGAGTGCGCTTAGAAAGTCATAAAATATTTATGCTCCAGTCAGTTTGCGAATGAATTTGAAGGCCAATGCAGAAGCATCAACTTTGATACACTCCACAGAGCCAATCGAATTGTGAATTGGCTACTCTAAGCAAGCAGGGGGGTAGGTGGAGTGGAGGCAATCGATAGGGCAAACAAAGTTGTTCGCATTTGGCTGGTCATTACACCGATGGCACTTTCACTTTCGCCACTCAGAAAACGAAACATTTTCTCGATACTAATTAGCCAAGAAGCAAAGCATGCAAAGGACAAAGTGAATGCTAAATGGGCATAAATTGTGGCACGATCAGTGATCAATTTTTTAGTTTTTTTTTGTATTTTCTGTGGTGCAGTTCGGAAGGATGGTTAGAGGGCTCGATGGATGGTTCACTTCCATACACATATTTATGACTATTACTTTTTTTATTGCTCGTGTTTGTGTCATTTGTATGGTTCAACGGCTTATGAAATTATGATAGTAAAACCCGACGACGAGACCAATGCCCAGGGGCACTGCCAATAGAAACAACAACCAACCGACATGGCAGCCATTTCAAAACTCGTAAATCAAACCCCCACGCAATGTCTGCTACGTTTGGCAAATATAAAAGATATTTTTCTTTCTTTCTTTCTTTCTAAAGCAAAACAAAATTTCAATTATTTGCCATATGAAACGGTCATTGACTGACGGATGATGGTCAGTGGCAGTGCGGTCTTCGGTGGTCTTTTCTTTGTCCGCGTCGAGTGTGACATGACCCTTTGCCCCTGCATGACCTTAACCCTTGGGTTAGCTATTAATGTTTACGAGTGACGAACGATGGGACATTGGAGGAACATTGCTTTTGGGCTGCCATCAACATTATTCTTATTGATATGGTTGTAGGGGCTGTACAAATGGCAAATATTTGATGAGCTCGGGCTGCAAATCTCTCGGGAATTCGAATTTGAATTTGAATTGGAATTGGATCTGCCATTGTGCACGTATTCCAATTAAACCATTTTTGACCGGGCATTGGGCTGTCTCCCATCATTATCACATATTGAGTTTCCCAATTTCGCGAGACACACACAGGCCGGTTGGCCAAAGCCACAAATGACGGGCTGACACATGAGGGATGAAGCACGAGGGAGGTTCCACATCGATGAACAGGCATAACTCAGCCTGATCCACATGCCGACAGCCGAGTACATGTGAGTGCCACAGCCCCGGACCCGGACGATGCTGCAGGCTGCAGGCTGCATGCTGTTGCTGGTTGCTCTGGCCGATGGTGTCATGGGGTTCTCGTGGGTGTGGAATGACTTTTGCACCCCGCATTTAAATGAAGGCTGAAGACTTAACTGGATTTTGGCCGTGTGGCCAGAGGAGCTCTTGGGAATGATTTTAAATCCACTTGCCACACACACCAAGCACCTTCTGCCCCTTGGTCTTCCCATGGTCGGGGATTGACTCACTCACCTCTTTTTGTTGTGGTGGGTTTCGTTTTTTGCAGATTGTGCCATAGATGGTGACTGTATGGCTCGGCTCCAATCAATGTGCAACAACTGCGACAGCAAATCCTGCTGCTGCTGCTGCTGCTGCTGCTGCTGCTGCTGCTGCTGCGCCCTCTAATTGGGTTCACTTTTATGGCCCAGTGTGGAACTCTGGCTCCAAGCAGGTTAGCTCATCATACCAGAGGGAGAGGCACATTCAGCGCTTACTTTTTGTAATTAAATAATAATTTTGCACGTTAACTACATGAGGTTTTGCGGGGAAGATGTCAAATGATTACGATGCAGACGCCTACATTAAAGACTTCCCAAGCAGCTTGAAGACATATGTATAGTAGCTGTCCTTATATACGTATGTATCTACGTGGTGCTTCATGTTGATATTTATGCATACATACACGTGCATGGACTGCTGTCTGTGTATGTGGCTTTGTGCATTTGTGTGTTTGTGGTTTAATGTCAGTCACTCACTGAGTTTATGGGGTCGTTGTCTTTCATGGCCAAAACAAAATGAGTATAGTTCTCTGATGAACTACTGACAAATGTCAAGGCGCTGCCACATAGCCATACATACATACATACATACATGCATACATAAATACATAAATACATACATATAGACCGGTAGGTACATTCCGATGAGCAGTAGATACATCCAGATGACTACATCGCACATTGGAATAATTTCGATCAGTTCAATGGCACCCAAAGTTGAGCTGTTTGCTGCACAAAGAGTCTGGCACTAAATGAAATGTGTTGCTGATACTTCTGCCATGGTTCTGGCAAACCTGTGTGAAAAACTTTGACTACCGCTTTGCCATTTTCGCTACGTCATTGGTTGGGGGTGCTGGCCATAACTAGCAACGCCTACAAGGCCCAGAGGCACAAAAACACACACAAATATGTAATTAACATGGCCATTGCAGGTGGTAAAGGTGGTGGGGATTGCTGCAGCCAGGGTGCAGTTGCCCGCAGGGGCCGCGCTGCGTATACGTAATTTATGAATGCGGTGCAGGACTTTGCGCTTATCACGGGCATAACCACACTGGAGCATTATTAAGCCCAAAAGACAGACAGGGCGTGCCGGGGCGTGCAGTGGCTGCAATGGGTGGGTGTCGGGAGGTTAATTCAATTAGTGTTGTGTTTGCATTTGGCCTTTGCCATGTGCTGTGCTTTGCTCTGCTTTTGTGTGGCACCTGCCACACACGCACACACACCGCATCTACACATACAATTGCCATAATTGATTTAGGCAATCAATACACTTTGCTGCACTTTAACTTGAGGCAATCCAGGGCCTGGATAAATGCATACATCGAGCAGCTGCTGCATTGCTCTGCTCTGCCATTTCTCTCTCTGCGATTGGCTGCTCAGCTGGTCAATATTTTTCAGAGCTAACAACTACATAAATACATATACATATATGCCTTTACATTTGTACAATCTTCCCTAAGCGAATGCAAACATCAATTGGGTCTGGGTCTGGTCTGGCGTTGTTTTGGGGGGCCAAATGTAATTTCTAGTTGCCACAGAAATGTTGCAAACATCGCTCAAATTTTAGCCAAAAGCAAAAAACATCTCACAGGGCTAGCAGGAGAGAGTTGTTTGTTTGTTATTTGGCTTTGACCAACATTTATGGTGTGCCTGCCGGATATTAGGTGCGTATGAAGGAGGCAAATTCCCAAAAAAAAACAAAAAGCAAACTGCTGCAAAAATAGTTTTTGTCAAAATGGAAAATCACAACAAAAAGTACTACAAATACAACGCCAACTTCGACACAGCTAACAACGAACACCGGCAGACAGACTCGTGGGCAAAGTGGAAGCATAAATATTTCATCCAACTGAGAGCAACCTGGCAAAAAAAATTGACAGCTAAAGGGTTAGACAGATCTAAACCGAATACTTGGGATGGGAGTGGGTTGTGGCTTCAAGGGGAATTTCGGAAATTAATTGTTATGGGCAAAGGTATGCAGAAAGTATGCAAAACATTTGTCTGCTGAGGATGAGACTCTCTGAAACTTCCGATCCCGAAGTGTTAAATCAATAAACAATAATGGTTATTAAATAAGATCTTTAGCTGTCTTTAGCAACAATACTTGAACAAGTTTAAATTATTTTTCATTTACTAATGTACATTTCAAATTTGATTTCTTTTGTTTTTTTACAGGAAGCATATCGTCGCTGGGTGTGCAGCACACTAGTGCCATATTTTGCCGAGCCCAAGGACGTTGCTCCAGACGGGAGTGAGCAGAGCAGCAGCAGCAGCAGCAGCAGCAGCAATGCGAAAATCCCGGGCAAAAACAAACGTTCCGCGTGGAGTGCAACGTGGACTGAGGGAGGAGAAGCTGTAGCCGTGGAAGCTGGTGGAAGTGCTGCTGCTGTAGCTGCAATCAAGAATAAATCTCTGAAATTAATCAGCAATAACAATAAATCAAATAACGGCAATAACATGAACGAGCGTCAGATTAATCAGAAGCCTGACAAGAGCTCGCAAGCGAATCGGAACAATGAGAACGGGAACGGGAACACGAATGGGAATCGGAATGGGAATGGGAATCGGAATGGGAATGGGAAAGGGGACAATGACCGCAATGTGGAGGAAGCGATTGGCAGAAGTCTGGCTCAGACATTCTATGATGTCGTTGGCATGTCTAGTCCCCACCAGAGCCAGGTGGCGGGAGTGAACGATGGTGGCGAGGGGCCAGTTGGGGCCATGGCTGAGGCTGAAACACAATCCAATAATTTCATATCGACTGCCAATAATGCGGATCCCAGAGCCTTGGATCCAGTGATATCAAAACTTCAAAAGAGGTAAGTCCACACACTGGAGATGTATTCCATTTTGTATAATTGTTTGTTTGCAGATCAACACGCAAGGCAGAGTTTCGCAAGCGACGACGCATTCGGCCCTGCCTGAGTGTCTGCCAAACTGTGGAACAAAAGTGCCCCTATCTGCTGCCCGCCGATCGCGCACCCGCGCTGCCCACCCAATATGCCGGCGAGCCGACATTTCTCTGCCTAGGTAAGACACTTCAAATAACTACTATCCATGGAGCACTCTCTCAACTAAATTCTGTTTCCCCTGCGCTGTAGATCAAAATATACCCGAAACTGGGGAGCAGCTGAAGAAGTCCAGCTATGGCCCCAATGACTGCTGCTACAGCTACTGCAATGGACCCGCGAGTGGAGTCTGCACCGTGTGCCAGGAGTTTGCACCGCCGCCGAGGGCAAGCCCGAACGATGTGGCAGCAAATTCCACCCGCCGTGTCCACAATATAACGCTCACGTTGAGCTCTCCCGCCGGCGAGCATGCACGGGCCAAGAGCGTGGCTCTGGCCCTGAGGAACGTGACCAAGGAGCGTGACAGCGAACAGGATGCCATGGAGTCGCTGATGGATCGCCTGCCGTACTATGCGCGCCTCGACAGCATCTACTACTACGACGAGGACGGAGAGATGCCCAAGGCGCCGCTTTCCGGCAACTGTGCGCCCGTGCCCGCCGTCACCACTCGCTGCACCTTTCCGTACTATGCCTCGGGCACCGAGGCCGCGGCGCCGCCCACACAGCTGCTCGTCTGGCTGAGCGCTCTGCTGGGGCTGCTCAGCAGCTGTGGGGCCGCACGCCAGCGCTGGAGCTGCAGCTGGATTGGCGGCTGTGGGCAGCGTGGCCGTGGTCGCCCGTGCGTCAACTGCGAGGCCAGCTGCCACGAACAGGAGCTAATCAGGAGCAGGAGCAACGCCGCCGGAAGTGACAGCAGAGGCAGCAGGAATAGCAGGAGCCGCAGCCAGCAAAGCATCGATGGAAAATGCACGGAAAAGGCGCCTCAGGCAGGAGCCGAAGCTGAGGCAGGGGCCGAGTCCGCCTGGATGTGGGCGTGGTCGGTGAGGCCACAGAATATCCATAGGCAAATGTGCAGCAAGGTGCGGTACTTTAGTAGCCGAAGTAAATTTAAATGCGAGTCCCACTGCAGAGACTTGGATCCGTTGAGATTACGAGTGAGGGTCAGGGTCAGGGTCAGGCCCAGGCTGAGGATCGGGTGGGGTTGGAGCTGGAGTTGGGGGATGTGGCAAACGCGGGAGGGCAGCACTAGGACTATTAACTATCGCTATTTCTACTATTACAACTACAACATCAACGATTGGTGGCGAAGATGGTGTCTGGGGGAGTGGCGGCGGATTGTGGGCAGCGGCGCCTTATAGTGCCTGCAAAACGTCAGCGGACTGTCCGTGTGCGTGTGCGTGTGCGTGTACGTGTACTCGTACTCTCTTATTCCCGTCTCTCTCTCTCTCTCTCTGCATAGGAATATCTGATGATAGTTAAACCCCGAAACCATATACATATAATAGAAGTTGAGAGAGAGCAAAAACGATTAAAAAAATGAAGGGGGGAAGCGAATTAAATGAGACATGAAATGAAATGAAAGCAAAGCAACCAATGGAAAACCACATAAATATTTATGGTCCTCTTTCAAGTGAAAATAAAAGCCAAAACATGAATTATAAATCTCCATTGAAGAAAACAAAAGAAAACAAAAACAAAAACAAAAACCAAAACCAAAATAGCATATTTTATTACAACTAGAACAAAGAATATTAATATTTAATTAAACAAAAAGCAACTGCCACAAGAATAGGTTTTTTTAGATAAATGAAAACAGACACAGAAAAAAGCTAAAAAGCAAAAAAAAACAGGAACATATAACAGGAGCATGGAACTAAACAATGATGTATGTATGTCCATCAAACGGAACCGAAACGAAACCAAAAACAAAACTAAAAATATAGTTATTAATTTAATTACTGGCGAACAAGAAATACGAACATTTTAGGTTAGCTAAAAATGAAACAAATAAAGAAAATAAAGAAAACGGAAAAACGGAATAATTTACAACTAGAATAACAAAGAAATTTTCGAAAACGGCATATATAACTACGATTAATTAGCGAAAAAAAAAACCCACGACGACAGCTAAGAAATAAACTAAAAGAGAATACAATTTCATTAACAAATTGACGTATAGGCCGAGTATCAAATCAACCACCTTTCAAAAAAAAAAAAAAAAAACAAAACAAAACAAAAAAAACGAACCGTGAACTTTACTTAAAATTAGTTTAACGAAATATAAAAAAGAACATATATACATACATATATGAAAAACAATAGTCGAGGGATGAGCGAGAGCGATTAATTAACAAATTAATTAACCAATTAACGAGAGACGAAGAAAACAAACAAAAATAATAATAATAACAACCGCAAACCGCAAACCGCAAATGTGTCTAAGAATTGTCATTATTTAGTTTTAAAAGCGACGGAAGCAATGATGTATGGTTCACAGATTTGTATAAACCCTGAGAGAAAAACTCAAGAGAATAAACCTAAGGGGTGGACAGAACAGGAGTACATAAGGAGTATGTAAAGCGCACAGTAAAACTTATCTTTAAGGTTCATTCAAGGCGGCATTAACAGCATATACACATGTAGAGCCATGACCCATTTACATTACATATATGTACATACATATGTACGCGTGTATGTAAACATTGATCTGGGTATTTACGATAGGAATACATAGTGAAAATGTGCAACGTAAACATCAACAGGATGCGAAGAAGAGAAGCTCCATAAACAGCAGCAGCAGCAAACCACATACCTACTACGAGTATATGAATAATAATAATAATAATTTTTGTATTAAAGTGAACTCTATGTAGCGAATACATATAATATAATACATTTGCGAGGTATATATATTTATATTTATCAATTTATCGTACATAACTTGCAGCAGAAATGGAATAACTATAGGAAAAACAAAACAAATAAAACAAAAGAAAGGAAAGAACGAAAAAAACCAAAACCAAACTTAAACCACTAAGAAATATTCAAATAAATAGTCGTATTTGGTATTAACTAATTAACTATGGAACTAAGTACGAAACAGTATGAGAAAGTCCCTCTGATAGAGCACACTCGCCAAAAAATAAAAACAAAAAGGAAAACTTACACAAACACACAAAAACATATACCTTAAGCACTCTTAAACAATATATTTAGTTTAGTTAGTTTCCCACTCACCGCATTTGCATCATCTCTGAAGGCTTTTGACATTTCCCATGTTTTTTGGGTACCTTCTTTCCGAAATCTGTAAACGAACGGTTTTACTTTTAGTCCACTGCAGGCAGTGGCAGAGAAACGAAACCGAAACTTCATTATGATGTTTTCTTCTTTTTCAATCTTCCCCAACTTTCAGCTCTTGAATTTCTCTTTCGATTTTCCTTTCCTTTCCTTTCAATCTTTCAACACTGACGCATTACTTTAGGAAGAGATAGAATATGTAATAGGAAATGGTATGGATTGTGTTATCTGTTGTTGTAGAAACGTAAAGGATATTACATACAAGCGAAAAGCAAAAAGTAGTTGCATTCATTAAAGACCTCTCATGCCCTTTCATTTCTTTGATTTCCCCTTCTCCCTACCCCCATATCAATGAATATTTGTAAATAGAAAAGACACAAACTATGAACAATTCGCCTCAAGGCCCTGGCAACCCGGGGTACATTTCCATGAGAGTTTCTGTCCCACATGAATTTTCTTTTACACGTTTGCAAGTTCCGTTCGCCAAAACAAATTTTCCCTTTATTATAATGTTGGTCCCGTTTGTGTGGAAACTCTTTCCGTAACTCAAAACGAATGAAATCTATGAATTTACATAGCCAAACGTTTGCTTTTTCGTTGCTCGTTTCGTCGTCAGCGAGATAACTGTACATTGATGGCGAATGCAAAACCATTTCCAAGAGGTGCGGGACGACAAGAGGAGTGGCCAACTGCCGTTATCGGGGGGCACGATGGCAAGAGAGAGTAAGAGAAACAGTGAGGTGGGGAGAGGTAGGGAGAGGGAGAGGGAGAGCCGCTGGCACAAATTGCGCGCATATTGAAATGCAAATTGTTATGAATTATTGTGTACTTTTGTAAAACTTTTTGATATATATAAAATAGTTAACATGAATAGATGCCTAAATAATAATAAATTAAATGTTAATTTATTTAAATGTAAACAATAAATGGACGTGAACAGAACGTAGCGACGGAACAGAAGGTCGGTGGACGAAGGCGGAGGCGGAGGCGGGCTGGCTATCCGATCGTGATTCCCATCCCGATTCCAGATTCCCATTTCCAATTCCCCCATTCCACCATTCCAGGTGTCCCTTAGAGTATGAATGTATTAAGCAAATTGTACGCGTTGGACGGAGAAGGAGACAAAAAACTAGTTGAATTGTGTGCGTAGCGGTGGGTAACTCATAGCTGTAGCCGTGGCCTCCGGATCAGGTGACGATTATTTGAGATCGTTTCACGAACATTACTTTACCGCAGCGCGGCCGAGAACAGGAAGCAGAAAGTACCATCTCACACACACACCTTACATACTCACACAATAACGAATTCCAAGCCCCATCCGAATCACTAAAAAGTTAGCACGAATTATACAATAATTTTTGTAATTGTTTAGCAGCTGCCACAACAAACAAAACAAAACAAAAACCAAAATTAATGATACCAATAAATGAAGCAAACAAAAACGGTAGCAAATATTTTCTACAAAAAAAAACCACAAAAAAACTATTTAAAATATGTAAAAAAAATAAATAAATAAAAATGAAGAAAAGAGAATTTTAAAAACTAAAACCAAAATTCTTTTTAGGTCAGAACGAAATTACATAATTGTTTGCCATGGCAAAGAGGAACGAAAAATATTAAATGAATTTGTATTTGATATCACAAGAAAGAAAACAGCGAAAGCCGAAAACAAATTCGAAGCCGAGAAGTCGAATGGTCGAATGGTCGAATGGTCGAATGGTCGCGAAGTCAAGAAGTCGAGGAGGAAGCGTAATATTACATGAAAATTCATAGCGTCAAGTCAAGACAAATTTAATTTAATTAAATGAAACCAAAAAACAATTAAAACAAAGAAAGCCAAGCTGCTAGCCAACAAACAAGAAAAAAAGATGACAATTTCCATTGAAAACGAATACTCGAACCATAGAGTTTTCCGACAAGCCCCTCCCCAATGACACTACCCTAGAAGAAACTGATAAAAATAAATACAAAATCTAACATCTAACATCCCACATGAGACAGCTAAGAACTTTAACAAAAATAAACTGAAATCTTCTGTACTTGTTGTTAAAAAGAAATGGGAAATAAAGAAAATAGGAAACACAAAACAAACAACAACAAAAAAACGACAAAGATCCCTAAAAATAGAACATGGCAAAACGAAATTTTCATAGTCCTTAAGCTAAAATCTAAATACGAAAAACAAAGGAAAATTCCCCCAGCCAAACTATCTAAAGTAATGAAAATAAATTCTGACTAACGAGAGACGGAGAAATAGTAATACTATTTAATAATAATAATTAAAACTGGCATAATTATGGTAATTGTAAAATAATTAAACAATGACGTAAAAGTAAAACAAAAGCAGAAAAACAAAAGGAATATAATAAAAAAAATTGTTGTTATTGAATGTATTTGTATAGAAAAATTATTATGATTATGACGATGAATAATAAATGATTACAAAAATAATAATTATTGTTCAAGCCGAAAAGCAAAAAAAAAACTACATACAAAAAAAAACAAATATATATATACGAGAACAAGCTTTTGACTTCCTTCTGGGATCGGCTGAGGATTTAAGAGCTGGAGCTGGGCGACGGTCGA